AGTAGCCACAGACCGACCTCTGTGGTTTATCGGTTAGTCGCTTCGCCGTCACAGGCAGAAGACGCGAGTTCGGTTCTCTTGTGGGAAGGTTTCCTTGATATGTTCCTTTTTAATGGAGTAGGTGTCTGCCTCTATCTGCTGGTACACTGTATCCTTCTCAGCCCCGATTAGCCCAGATAGACAGGGTCGAAGCAGCCTGCTTCCAGAATATCTAAATTAATGCCTATGTTTTGTAATGTTTCCGTGGAGCTTTCATGTTGAATTTTTGGAAACATACCAAACGAGTTCCTATTTGTAGATCACTCAGATGATTTATGGGTCTTTTAGTCTCCAGGAAAATCAAAAATGCCATTCCATGTAATTGTTTATTTGCATATGTGAAGAAAGTTCTGAGTACAGAGTCCAAGTAGACTTTTTTTTCTAATAATTACATTTTTACTATTAAACTTAACACGTTCTCGTTTTCTTTTCTTTGATTGATATCGCATTTCGCGATGTTCACAAATAAGCAGGGTGGCGTTGGTAGCCCAGTAGTTTGGCTACCGGACCCCGTAATCGTGAGATCACGTGATCGGGAGTTGGTGCCTAAGCTTGTTCCACATCGTGTCCTTAGGAAAGGCACTCTACACAGATTTTCTTATTTGGCTCTGTCCTTCCGGAGATGGAGGCGGATAGTTGGCGGGTGCTTTGGTGTTTAGTAGTTAAGTTTAGTTAGTTGGAGTTATACGACGCTCGCAAATACATAATGTGGTCATATAAGCGCACGATCTCTGGTGTGGTATTTTTTTATTTTTTTTCTTATCAAACTTCTATCATCCTTATCTCTGCGCCTTCTTTTGAAAGTCAAAATACTCGATTGTGTCCTCCCTTTCTTATGTTTGATACTCTCTTGTAATACCTCTAATTTTCTGCACTTATATGACCTTTTGTGTTGCAAGTGCCGTGAAACTCTTACAAAAAAAAGATAGACGCTCAATTTTGAAGCCTCGCATGGTCTATAAACTTACAGAACTGCAAGAATTATGGTTACACCTATACCATTTCTTTTTTTTTCAAATAAAGAGTTTCCCAGTTTAAGATTTACGCGCGCACGCGCACACACACACACACACACACACACACACACACACACACACACACACACACACACACAAGAATATAAGAGAGAAATAGCTCTTTGTTTCAATATTTCTCTGATAATCAGAGAAATGGTGGGCACAAATAAATGGTAACATGCAGCACATCCAACACCAAAGAATCAAATGACCCCTGACCCATGCTCTCCGGCTGGTGGCAGAGAGACGTCTCTTTCTTCCCCCGACTCCCAAATGGGTATAAGCGGCGGATAAAAGTAAAGTAAACCAAGGTAAGGTTTCAATGTTTTTTTCATTTATTCAATTCTTCTTCTTCTTCTTCTTCCTCCTCTTTTCTTTCACTCGGTGTCGTCACCCAGTCACTTGAGGACCTGGCGGACCAACAGGCGGTGGAAGTTGCTGTACTGAAGGGAGGATCCTCACAGGAGAACCTGAACACATCACCGGTATCAGTTATTGGGTGTGTTTGTGCACACGGGCGTTAGTGTGCGTGAGCGAGGGTTGTGTGAGTGTGTGTGTGTGTGTGAAAGTCTGTGGGTGTATGTGTGTGTTTGTGCACACGGGCGTTAGTGTGCGTGAGCGAGGGTTGTCTGAGTGTGTGTGTGTGTGTGTGTGTAAGTCTGTGTGTGTATGTGTGTGTTTGTGCACACGGGCGTTAGTGTGCACGCGTGTGTGTGTGTGTGTATGTGTGTGTGTGTGTATGTTTATGTGTGTATGTTTATGTGTGTGTATGTGTCTGTGTGTATGCGTCTGTGAGTTTGTGTCTGTGTGTGTATGTTTGTGTGTGTGTATGT